ACCCTGAAACCGAGTACCGCCTTTACTTCTACCGCTTTTAACCGTGAAACCATTGTTTTAGATTTCAAGTTTTTAACCGTGAAACCGATTTTTCTTTCACCCGGTCCTTCACAACAAATTGGTTGGGTCAAATCAGCCCAACTCAGCGGTGAGATATGTTGAGTTGCCTAATGCAAAATTACAGGTTAAAAGCCCTACTACACCCACAGGAGAGATCAGTTACGGTCATAATATCATATCAAATAAAGGAAACAGTTCAACCATTCTCTCGTTCAAGATCGGAGCCGCATAAGACAGTCAGTGAACGAAGAAAAACAAGGTCGGCTGGCCAGCAAGAAAGCGTGTTAAAGAATGACAGGCAATGCGCTATATACATATCAACGAGCGATGCATTATAATATACATCAACTAAAAGACTTTATAATACTACTTTTTGTCCTTGTGAGGGGCATGCCCGTCAGCAATCGGTCATAGATGAAACACATATTACACGTCGCAACGCCGGACAAGGTTGCTTCACAGACAGTGAAATGTCTGGGAGCAGATGTCGTCTTCAGGGCTGTGGATGTCTCATTAATTGGACCTAGTAAGTCTGCTTATCCACATGTAACCAAAAATCACCGCACCGGAAACTAAGTGCACAAAGTAGTCGCCGAAAGTGCTTGATGGAGCTGAACGGACACTTTCGAAATTGCAATAAAACGCCATAGTACATGGAATACGCCACGAGACGCACAGCCCCCGCCTTTGTCGCTTGACTTCCGCCGCCGCTGCAAAACACCGACGCTCAGCCGGACGTAATGCCACCGCAGGGCCAGTTGCCGACCGGCGACACATGACTGATAGAGCCCGAATGGCCCCTCGTCACCAGAAATGTCACCCCACAGACAGCCCCGAGCGTGTGAGGGACAGCACGTGACCTGGCTTTGCCAGCAGACGGTTTATGGATGATGTCCAGTGTTGAAGCGTTGCAACGGGGGTGCCAACTGTTGGTAACATCGGATGCAACTTTTGCATCGCTTCCCGAGTAACATGTTCAATCTCACTTCATAGACTTGACAGCAAACGATGGGTTTCGTGCCTGTTGATCCCGGTTTTCGTGCATTTCGTGTTTGGTACCAGCTTATCCCCTTTCTAATGATGCTAGCGTGACAAAAGCCTATATTTCTTCGCCAGATCACCTCGGCCATTAGCTATGACGGTTTGCAAGTGCAGGGCGACCTTTTAAAGCACATTTAATGTTCACTTGAATGCGGACATTAAACCCATTTCAACATCCCGTAGGCCTTTAAAGTTATAGACAAAGTTGTAAAGATTAAGTGTGCTTCCATCCAGCAGCAGAGAGCGGGTCTGTGGCTCAAAGTCTGACTGGACCGACGTCGCCAGCGGTACTCCTCAAGGGTTGGTGCTGGGACCAGCACTGTACATCATTTTCATTAACGATTCACCAGAAGTGCACGACGCGGCCAGGATGTTGGCGGATGATACTGAGTTGGGCTGTCGTGTTCCAGGGTCCCGGCCGCTTTTCCTCTCCATGCTGTCCTCGATGGCCTGGTCAAATGGTCGGAGTGCGATTGCTCCCACTCAACGCATCTATGTGCAAAGTATTACACATCAGCACTTGCTTCCTGAAGCGTACCAAAATCCCAGCCGTGCCCGCTGAAAAGTACCTTGAATTTGTCGTGGGGGCTCATGAAGACTCGTTCCAGACGTAGAGACGGCGGAGGGGGTTTCTAAGGCCAACCAGACGCGGGCAATCGTGAGACTGTCATTCGCCAACATTGACGTTTTCCCACTGCCACTGTTGCCAGGACGCGGTATTCCCGTTTTGACGCAACTATTCGAGGGTATGGCATCATCACCGGGGAGCCGTTCGTTAGATAGAAAGATAGAAAAAGATACCGTCTCTAGGAGAAGTTCCCGTTTACGTAATAGGTTGTCAATTTGTACTTTTAGAAGATAGTCCGGGTATGCTCGACCTGTGATGTTTTTTGGACTTTTACAGGAGGAACGGATAAGCATTCACAGCACCGGGTCTGTTTTCATTTTGCTGCCACTGTTGATCTATTCGGAGACCAATATCAAAATTCTACAGATGAAGGTGGGCAAATTTCAAGGTTCCTTCCTAGCGTAGACGACTAATAACTCGGCCACGTTTTTGGGTGTTAATATTCGACCGGTTTGTTCTCAATTTCCAATAAGACGTCGTGCTGCAATAATGTGATTTGCTGCTGTCCGTAAAAATATCCGTTCCGCAACATCGTTCAGTAATCCCAAAATACTCAGACAATGACACGCAACTAAGCCAGAGTAAACAAGACATGCTAATCGCATAACTAAAACATGCAGCGTGCGGGGAAAGTAGAGAGTACTCGAGTACAACGGGTACGAAAGTGTACCTTTATAAGGGTGACTAGCTCAGTCAGCTACACCTTACTGAACGTAACATCGCAAGTTGCATTTTGTTTGTTACTTGTACTGAAACAACAAGTAAAACCTTTTTTAAAACTGATGCAATTTTTGGCTGCCATTTCTAATGTCTTGCTTGTACTAAGTCTCCAGAAGGTTGGGAGGGGACAACTCACCGTTGGGAGGTCGCATTAATCGTCGTTGGGGGGGGGGGGGGGGGTGCTCGAGCCGAAGTGGGAGGGGGGGGGGGCTGAAACCTGCCAAGCTGAAAAGAAAACTACGCCCCTGGATCTGGAGCCTGTAGGCTGGCGCGGCAGGAGAGATCTTATTACACGCCGTGACCAGTTTGCCATCATCAGGGCCTTAATAACCCTTGCGCCCCGCTGGCGGTGCGGTCATTGTATCCCCCCCCCCCCCCCCCCCCACTCCTCTCACACCATTGTTAGCGCGTTGCAAGGTCGGTGGTGGCCGCCGCTTAGAGGCTGCCCGCTTCCCAGCTTAGGCATCGGGCAAAGACTGTGTTAAAGACTAAGACTGGCGCGCGGGGCGTCGTGGTACTGTGCGGCTTCATCCTAGAAACACCTGCAGCCGGCAGTTGTGGCTTCCCGGAGCCGTGCTGTGCTCATGCCTAGACTTTACCGAAGTGACACGGAATATAGTGCTGCTCTCGTCGGCTCTTTTACGCTTTTGGTGTTTTTATGATTATCGCAGCTTCGTCTTTGTCGGACAACATGAGGCCCATTGACTCAAATCAGCCATTTAACCCTGGATATGAGCTATTAGTAATGCATGCATGATAAAGACGATCATGCTGTTGGCCACCAGTCGACAGTTCTGTCGCGGCAAGGTGCGATCACACGGTGCGGATCGAATACCCATTGACAGATGGCAGCATAATCTCCAAAACAATCTTGGGAAGGATCTGCGAATAGACGCTCTCCAGTTGTAACACGTATCGTATACACAACAATGTGGGATGCGCGGACGCAATGTCAGGCAGTGACTTGACTTAAGACACACACATACATATATATATATATATATATATATATATATATATATATGTGTGTGTGTGTGTGTCTGTATGTGCATGTATATGTATATGTATGTGTGTATATAGGCTTAGGTATCGGACGAATGTATATATATATATATATATATATATATATATACACATATTCCGAGCTGTCCCGTTGAGCATGTTCGCGATTTTCTTTTTTCTGGCCGGTGCCGTGTTGCGTTCATCAACGGTGACAGCATGCCAGTTGAGTCTGACAGTATACCAGTTAAGTCTGACAGTATACGCACGTGTGGTTTTAGGCATTACGGATACGAGTAATATATTTCGATGTTACCTTTTACGAACATTCTAACGCCTGCTGCGATGATTGTCATTGCGATACACGTGACTTGCGCCATCCACATGCTACCGGTGCATTCAGATAAATTAGAGGGGCGGCACAGTACGTTTTATTCCGGGAACTTATTGGTGTTCACGAGAACGAGATGTTCCGACAAGGAAACCTAAGTGATAATCAAATCGATCCCATTCTTTAGCATTCCTAGACCCGCGATCGGCAAACGTAACTGAGCGACCTGTCCGCGTAATCGTTGACGCGTCATACATCAGGTTATGCATCATAATGTTGTCATTAGCATGGCAGTGGTAGACCCGGTGATTCTTTTTTTAACCCCTGCGCGTGCACGAGTCCACAAATGCCGTTTCGAATCTGCTTATTTGAGTACGCCATTTTTGATTGCGTTTAATACTTGCATGGAGGACAAATACCATCTCCATGTCCTGGTTCACTCAACACACGCACTATAAGATGTTTTACGCACAGTTTTCCCCGTCCCGTGCGCGCTATTGCCAGCTTTTTGAGACCCGTATATGTCAAATGAAGTTCGCGCTCTGGCGTCAGTTTGGGCCCTTGTAGCGTTACAGCCGGGTGTGTGCAAGCATCCCTCGCCACGCTCCCTGCACTTCACGTCATACCTGCGTACACGTATACCTTCATAGAAGGCCGCTAATGTGAACGGTGCGCACCGTTCTGGTGACCTCGTTTGGCCTCCCACTCTGAATTATCAAGGAAATACATGATTTGGAACAGCTTAACTCGTCTTTCCTTGATAAAGTTCAACCAGTACATCCAAACATAATGCAGTTATATTATGGTCAGAATCAGAATTTTAAAATCACGCCAAAAAACCAGGAGCTCAATACCTTTCTCACTCGCATTACAAAAGTCGTGTCTTTTTCCCTGATCTGCTCCGCCTTTTCTCTTTGCAGCAGTCAAAAAAGCAAGTAAAAAGAAATGTTGGGTCAACATATTTGACCCTATACCCATTTCCACCACCTTTACTTTCCGGCCTTTCGGATTAGGAACAACTAGTGTCTATTTCACAGTTTACGCTTTGACGCACAACATAATTTGTTCATCTTGTCCCATGCACACAAGTTGCCATGGCCCGGGCCCCCATTCATGCAGGGATCCAGTATGGCTCGTGTCTCTTGGAAGCAGCATGCAGTGGATGCGTTTCCAGAGTCAGCCACGGAAGTCTGCAGCTCGCAAACGTGACATCCAGCAGACTGGAGAGTGACCCGATAAATGTATTCATAAAGTTCTCTATCAAAGCCTTGGCACAAGCACCGCGAAACGACAGCCGTCCGCGTTACAACGCGTGGCAGTGAGCGGCCACGCCTGACCTGAACGACCAGGCAGCCCTCCAAACACAACGGTCGACGACGGCGAAGCGCCGCCGCCTGGAGAAACGATCATCATCCACACCGGCACCTGGCGGCGAGACGACGGGGCGGCAGCGTGCCGACCACCGCTGCCTCAAGCTCCTCTCGGCGGGCGGCGGCGCGGCGCCTACAGCTGCACCACCGAGCGCATGGCCTTGCCCTCGTGCATCATCTGAAGAGGAGTGGGCACAACGGGTCACCGGCGCCGTCCGGGCCGAGCGGCGAACGCGGCGCGGCGGACGACACGGGGCGCGTTCAGTGAGGGTCCTGGCCGCTACGACACGAGCACGGGTGGGAAGAAGAGACACGTGGGACTCCCTCTCGCCCAGCCGGACATGGCACAGCTCCATCAACTGGAGACGCACGGGTGTCGTCAAACCAGCTCGAGATGTTCCCCACACAGGGCCAATCCCAATGACGAGGACTGCTGGAAACAGGCTAGAAGTCTTCCTGCCAGATCACCACTACACTTCTCAACCACTGAGCTTACAGCCGTGACTTGCAAACCCCTCTATCGCGCATGACGACATGCGCTCTGCTCAATATCACAGCATGCTGCTCTAGAGACGGCGAGGGAAGGGGGGGGGGGGGGAGGCGACGAACAGCACGAGACCCGCGCCAACCTGGCCGCGATGGCACACCGGTCTGCCCCCCCCCCCCCCCCAGCGGACCCGGTACACCGGGCCAGACTCAGCCCAGCCCACATCATGCACGACGGGAGTCGTGCTGCGACAGTGCCGGGAGACACGCAGCATTATTGCCGCCAATGGATGGGGAACGACTTCGGTTCAAAGCCACTTCGATGTTATTGACACACACTTGTGCATCGTTTTGACACACCAAAACCGTCTTGCGAGTAGGACGTATGAGGTGTCAGTTAAAATTTACTAACTATTGTGTCTTAAAACAACCAGAAGAGTTTCACGTAGCGCAAACTACAATGAATATATATATATATATATATATATATATATATATATATATATATATGACAGAAATATGCGCGCGAGTGCCTCCATCTCCGTATCAGCTGCGCGCCTGACTACCAGCGACGCCCCCCCCCCCCTCACCTGGACTGTCGCGAGACCCACTCGCCCCCCCCGCAAGTGCCGCCCCACGCCCACCTTGAACGCCTCGTTGATCTCGGTCAGCGGGAAGTTGAACGTGACGAACTCATCCACCATCAGCTTCTTCTGCATGTACTTCTGCACCAGCTGGGGCACGGCGTCGCGCGACTTCCAGCCGCCGAAGGCCGTGCCCTTCCAGACGCGGCCGGTCACCAGCTGGAAGGGGCGCGTCGAGATCTCCTGGCCGCTGCCGGCCACGCCGATGATGGTCGACACGCCCCAGCCCTTGTGGCATGACTCGAGAGCGGCGCGCTGCCGGCACGGGCCGGACGAACGCGTCAGAAGACGCCGGCGAGCGGACGGGCCACATGTCGCCGCATGGTCGGAGGTCCGTCGCCCGCAGTAGGCGTCACAACTCGCGCCGGAGGGACAGACAAACAGGACTGAGAGGAGAGCCTCTGTTATGGCGTGCCGTGATGTGTATATGTAATATGTGAGCCATTCATCGCCGCAGCAGAAAATCGCAACACACAATTAGATAGCGAGTTCTCAGCCAACGGTCAAGAGCTTAACCACCGCGGATTTACCGGGACAGAATACAAGCATTTACATTGCATCATGCCGGTCAAGAAACGAAGCTTATCGTATCATATATGCTCTTCCGAAATCCAAGCCGCCTGGCCTGGGGCTGGGGTGAGAGCTGGAGCGGATCAGCTGCTCGGTCTGTCCGGGACCACGCCTGATCCCTTCCGTCGAGTCTGCGCCCCTCCCCCTCCCCCTCCCGATGGTGTCGCCCAGGCCGCCAGCACCGCTGCCCACCATGGTGTGAATGTTGCCGATGCACTCGAAGGTGTAGTCCAGCCCGCCGTCGGTCAGCTCGGCCAGCACCTGCTGGATGGGACGCTCGTGCTCCTTGGGGTTGACGAACTCGGTCACGCCGAACGCCTTGCCTGCCGCCAGAGGGACAGACCGTCACCGGCGGCGAAGACCGGCCTGACGGAGCGGAGCGGAGTGACCAACCTACAGTCCCACAACACAGAGCGCCGGCCAACGGAGAAAGCTCCAGCGAGCGAGGAGAGGACGGCTTGTCGGCGTCATGCATGGAAACGCCCACAGAACAGGACGCGCGGGCCGTTACCTGAATCGCAGACGGCTGTGATGGTGACAAGCCGGGCTAAGCACAGACAACCAATACCCGACCGCGTTCGGAACGACCAGTTGACCATTAAAAAAGCGTTCCCCGTACGCCCCCAAATAACGGCAGTAACGCCCCCAAACAACGCCCCAGTCCCCCGCCCTTTCTATAGAGACAATCCCGCCGGACAAACGGGCCCCTCCTCAGCTCTCGCCCTGCTCCCCGAACCCCGGCCGGCGGCCCCGCCGGCGGTGGCGCGCCCCCTGCTCACTCGGCTCGAACTTGTCCGGGTTGATGTCGACGCCGATGATGCGCGCGGCGCCGCGTTCCCGGCAGCCCATGGCGACGGCCAGGCCGACGGCGCCCAGGCCCCAGATGGCCACCGTGCTGCCGGCCTCGACGTTGGCCGTGTTGAGCGCGGCGCCGTAGCCGGTGGAGATGCCGCAGCCCAGCAGGCACACCTTGTCCAGCGGCGCCGCCGGGTCCACCTGGCCGCGCGCGCACGCGGTGAGGCGGGTCAGACCCGATCATGAGGGGATACAGTGCACTGGCCGTGCACGTTCAGGTGGTGGCACTCCGTGGTCGCCGCGTCTCAACGTCGCGTCTTTTTTTAGCGTTTCCAACCCCCAGAACATATGCGACTTCAAAGCTCAACAGCATCTTGCAGGATACACAACCCGGTGCCCCAGAACAGCCCAAAACCGAGACAGCGCGGGTTACATGCTAGGTGACCTCACTCCACAGACCGACACGGGTTGGGTAAGGTAACCGAACTTCACAGACCGACACGGCCGGGGTAAGATGACCTCACCTCACAGCCATGGGTAAGATGATCTCACCTTACAGACCGACACGCCGGCCACTACGGTGTACTCGGAGAAGCTGGAGCAGCCCATGAAGTGGAACAGGGACTTGCCCTTGCAGGTGAAGCGGGACGTGCCGTCCGGCATCACGCCGGCGCCCTGGCAACATCACACACATCATCAGACCGGCGCCCTGGTCACCCGACACAGCGGCTACGCACAGCGGCTCCGCGAAAGAACCGAGTCAGTCGCAGTCGTCCCACGTGACTTGACACAACGGAGAATTACGTGCTTCCCATCGCCCCTGCACAACATGATGTCTACGAAGTGGCGTTTGCCTGGCAATAGCAAACACGACGTAACAGGCTCCAGGAAACAGTTGGAATAAGCCTACGCGCAAATGGCTCGAAAACAACGCTACACCAGCTCCCCCGACACATCACACCTCACGCTGGGCGAATGACGTCACGCGGGGCAGGACAACCCGAAAGAGCCGCACAATGTAACGCAGCAGGCGTCCGGCCAGACCGGCTGCTCTCCTCCCGCATCACATGCACGCCCCTCCCCCCGCCCCCCTACAGGGGGATGACGGCTCGTTCGACGCCGGCGCCACGTGGCGCCGTCACCGGGCGCGCCGTGCGGCGGCCCGCCAGCCGTACCTGAGTGCTGCGGATCTTACTGCACAGGTTGGTCTTCGGCGACTTGCAGAACTTGCACTCGTAGCACTGGGGGATGTACAGCGGTACCACGTGGTCGCCTGCAACACGCCGCGCGCGCGCGTCAGTGCGATAGCCTCTCCACGATACCCAGCACGTCATGTCCACGTCACGCGGTACTGATGACATCCTCGCGAAGAGGCAGAAGGCGCGTCGCGGCACCACCCAGTCAGACCGCTTCATGTCGTGTTTCGTCTCTTCGCGGCCGCGTCACGATGCCGCTCAAAAGTGGCCAAGGTTCAAAGTGTGCCAAGACAAGAAACGTGCAGCGTAAGTGCGACTCCCAAATAATTGGCCCACGTCTGTGGCCTGGTCCACTCGCTTGCCTCTCCTCCACGCCAGCAAAACCAAGGGCTGACCATATGACGGCGACGATGACCACGTGCATTACCGGCCACCGTCTGTGCCCACCAGACAATCGGCAACTAATCTGCAACGATAGCCGCCACTTGGAGCGGCGAGAACAAACACTCAACCGCAGCCAGACCTGGTATGCACTCGCGATAGCGGCCTGCTTCAACCCGGCCCCGGCACCGGCTTCGCCCGCCTCCATCAGCCGCACGGTCGGCTGTCGGCCGGCCCCGACGGGCTAGTCATTGCTCTGCCGCGGTCACACCAGGCGGATTAGACAGAGTCCGACTGTCGGCCCCGATGGGCTAGCCAACGCTCCGCCGCGGTCGCACCAGGCGGATTAGACAGAGTCCGACTGTCGGCCCCGACGGGCTGGCCAACGCTCCGCCGCGGTCACACAAGGCGGATTAGACCGAGTCCGACTGTCGGCCCCGACGGGCTAGCCAACGCTCCGCCGCGGTCACACCAGGCGGATTAGACAAGGTCCGACTGTCGGCCCCGACGGGCTGGCCAACGCTCCGCCGCGGTCACACAAGGCACAGGACAGACAGAGTCCGAGCGACCGCCAGCCCGGCAGCGGCGTCGTCGCCGTCGGACGGACTGGCCAAGCCCTGGTGGTACGGGTCTGAATGGGACGGGCCCGAGGTACGGGAGCACTGGTCTGAATGGGACGGACAGTCTGAGGTACGGGAGCACGGGTCTGAATGGGACGGACGGGCCGAGGCACGGGAGCTCGGGTCTGAATGGGACGGACAGTCTGAGGTACGGGAGCACGGGTCTAAATGGGACGAATGGCCCGAGGGGTGGGAGCACGGGTCTGGATGACACGGACTGCCTGAGGCGCGGGAGCACGGGTCTGGATGGGACGGACTGCCCGAGGCGCGGGAGCACAGGTCTTAATGGGACAGACAGCCCGAGGCGCGGGAGCACGGGTCTGAGTGGGTCGGACGGGCCGAGACGTCGGCAAAACAGGCTTGAATCGAACGCATGGGTGAAACAGCCGATGTATGGGACTGGCTGTAAGTCGATTTGACACGTTATAAGTCTGCTATGAAACCCAAACCAAGCGTGCATAGTGCTCGTCACGAACATCCCACTGCACGTACCAAAGACCGCTGTACCGAGAACCAAATTTTCGACGAACCGGTGGAAGCCGTGATCTATCTCACCCCCACCCTAATCAGGCTTCGCAGTCGCTGCTCAATGGAAACAGCCTTACCCGCACCGAAAGGGGATGCCTGAAGAGTGAATGACACTTTGATCTAGTGATAGCTAAAACGGGCGTGTGCGACGCGAAACGGCGCTGCATTATGCAACCACTTGGCGATGTGTCGTGGAGCGTGGCCGGCTGCGCTCATGTGGGGTCCACCCATACAGGGATAGGGTCATCGTACCCTGTCCCTGCGCCGGCCGATGGGGAGACAAGGCCATCGCGCCCCGTCTCCGGGTCAGCTGACGCAGAGATGATGCCACGATGCCGTCCCCAGGCCCGCTGACACGGCGACATGTCCACGGCACCGCGCCTCCGGGTCGGCTGACGCTGAGACAAGGTCACGGTGCGCCACCTCCGAGCGGATCGAGCCCGAATCAAGGTCGCGGTACCCCGTCTCTGGGCCACCGCCGGTCGGCCCACGCCCCGTCTGGCAAGCGATCGTGTAAACACGGCGGCCAGTCTGGTCCACACAGCGCGGCGCGCGCTCCAAGGTCCAGTCCGGCGTCAGGGGGACGCCGGCCAGCGCGGACCAATCGGCGGCCACGTGAGGCCATTAGCCCAACCTTGAGGCCCCGCACGCCCGAGCAGGGCCTCTCCGCGGCGGCAACGCAAGGCGAATCATGGAGACGGGCAGAATGACGTTGCAAATCCGCTGTTCGCTGCAACCGAACACCGCAACGTCACACGGGGGGCGGGGGGGGGGGGGGGGAGGGATGCAACAGCACAGGCACGCCTTAACATGACCTGCCGCTCCGGCCTATACTCATGAAGGTGCAGCTGACGCCAAAACTGTCTAGGAAACGGCTACCGACGTGTCAGCATGGCCGCCACAAAGCTTCGACCAAAGGGGCCTAATACCATGAGAAAGAGGATGGGGATGGCAAGGGGAACGCACGGGCAGCAGCAGCCGACTTTGATATCCAAACAATAAGTGCGCCTGCCCTACATTTTGTAGCGCCCCCACGCCTCTGCCAATGCGTGCTAAACATCAGCGCTGACGGACGTCTGACAGGAGTCAGCTGGGCGGTGGGCGGGCCCCGGGCCGGACTCACCGGGTGCCACATGTGTGACGCCATCGCCGACGCTCTCCACCAGGCCGCCTCCCTCGTGACCGAGGATGCAGGGGAACAGGCCCTCCGGGTCGTGGCCGTCCAGCGTGTAGGCGTCCGTGTGGCAGACGCCCGTGGCCAGCACCTGGCGGCGGCCGGTCGCCCAGCATCACAGTATGGTCGGCACCAGTTGTGCGCGACTGTGCGCCACTGCGCGCGAGCGTGCGCCACTGCGCCTGACTGCGCGCGACTGTGCACGGCCGGCCGAGCGGCACACCGGCGGTCAGCGCCGCGTACCAGCAGCCACCATGGAAAACTGACGACCGGTGCGGCGCGCTGCCGACCCATACAACACGTGTGGCAGCCAGCGCGGCACATCACCGGCGGGACCGGAACGCCGCCGATCGGCGTCAGACATCGCCGGTCAATGCAGCGATGCGGTACATCACCGGTCACCACCCGCCCGCGCGACACGACGCTAGTCAATGCGGCATACCACCACTCAGTACGGCGCATCACGCGAACAACTACTGGGCAGCACGGCAGGCAAGAAACAATCACAGCTAGGCACTGGCAAACAAGGTATGCCACGCCAGCAATCACCGGTCCGCACGGGGTCCTGCATCGACCGACACCGGTCAGAGCGGTACAGCACACCACCCCGATGGCCAGCTAGCCATTGAACGCCGACAAATGACGGACGCCGGCTCCTGAATAAGTGATCGCTGTATTTTTCCATCGGGGTTATTTCAACAGCAGGTTTCAACTGTGCTCTCTGGTCCGTGCTAGTGGTTGCGCCCGAAAAGGCCACAAAGAATTCGGCACTTGGAGGCGTCCTAAATACTATCAAAGGCCCAGCCGCTAACCAGATTGTTTCACACGAGGAGAGAGACACGCTGCAGTCGAACTGACGGTCAACTGAGGCCACGGACTGGTGATCGGGACAGACCAGTGCGACGACTGGCGTGGCGGCAGCCGCCCGACGCCACGACAGAGGTGAGCGCCAACACGCTTCAAAGCGAGCAACCTGAGCAAATAAAGCCAGATGCTTCCAGGGCCCGGACGAAATGCCCTGAAGCCTGAAATGGCTTTATTTTTCTGTTCCACCCCACCACTTCTACATCTTTTTCTGCTTAGATTATACGGCCCTGGCATCCACCCTTCCAAACACTCAATATCGGCAGATGCATGCATCAACTGGGTGAGCTGGACCAGCCGCAATCAGGGATCGGTGTAGTATACAAAGCCGTCTGTACTTCACTGAAGCAAGGCGTGCCGGCGATCTGGTGGATGATTCGAAGCAGCTGGTGAGGTCTCGCCGTGACCAAAAATTACCGAGCTATCGGCCCCGCTTTTCCACGCGTGCTGTTTTAGCTTTTTCCCAGCCCATAAATTTAATGTCTTTGGTTTGGTCAGGTCTCACGCGGCTGCTTAGCGTGGGGTCGCATTCTTGACATTCATCCCTTGAAAAGTTCTGATTACAAAGTTATCTCTTGTTAAGCTCATCTGGTGAGGATTACGTTCTGTCTGAAGTCCTGCTCCACAGGTCTGATTGCGGTTAAGTTTCAAATATCGCCACAAATTTCCATCCTAATTATTACCAGACATGTCAGCCCTAGTGCCATCACGGGTTTAGGACATCTTAGGTTTCTCATTTTCATGTCACAAAAAGGAGGTGTTCAAGCAACTTTCACCCCGATTCACAGTCTCGAGCAAATGGGCAGAGTAGGGGAAGCACAAGGAAAACACAGTGGCTTGGTCTCAGTGAAATCTTGTAATTTGTTATAAGTTTTGTGTGGCTAGGTTAATACTTGACTCCTCTAAGTCAGGTCAAAAGTCATTTTTGCTGAAAGTTGGCCCATTTCTGCTTTACCTGCTGATATCACAATCCATGCAAGGTAGAGCCACACAACTTACCCAGACATGTTCTGCAACTACTAATTGAGAGTGTTGTTCAGCAGTTATGCTTAGCAATACTATGGCCAATGTGGGACTACACAAATGTACCAATGTGGGACTACACAAATGTACCAATGTGGGACTACACAAATGTACCAATGTGGGACTACACAAATGTGCCAATGTGGGTCTCACTACAACCACGATCAGCAGATTCATCACTTCCTGGTGAGTTTTGGGGCCCAAACAGGCTGTGGCTGTACACCATCCTCAACCCAGATCAGGCTGGCTGTCCTTCCATTTATTGTTCCTAAAAAACATTCCCTAAGAAACCAGAAATGCTGGCAATACATTCTCATACATACCAACTTTCTAATACCAAGACAAATACATACTACATACTGCCCGCAATCCATTGCTGCTAAAAAACATCTAATCAGAGACCAGAAATAGAGGAGAAAGATATTTGATGTCATAACATGCCAATGAGTGGCCCACATAAATGGAAAATCTGGTCATGATTACACTATTTTCCATGTATGTACCAACAAATAGCCCTATGGGCTACATTGCCCCTGCCCCACCATCTGGGCAAGGGACAAGCAGCTAGTATGGCTCCTATGTGCCATAGGCTGCCTGCTGATTGATATCCTAAGCATTTAACACTGATAACCAGTGCATGTTCAGCACCAACAGTATGATAAGGCATCTAATTATCCATTTTACATGAGCCACATTCATACATCTCAAATACTACATGTCAAATACAATGAATATAACATAATCAAATGAGGCTTTCCATCATCAGATGTGGCTATTGTCCCCAAAAACTCAAAATCACAGCACACACCATCAGGCGACAAACACACACCACTTTCAACTGCAGTTACCTTAATTCTGACCTCCCCAGCCTTCGGTGGGGCAACCTCTATGGTCTCCAAAGAGAGCTTCTCCTTGGCTGACCATGCCACAGCAGCCTTGCATGTGATCACCTGCCAGAACAGTTAGAAGATTACCTAGAATAGCCACTGGTGCAAGGGATAGGCACCCATGTTTGAGCATACAACATACACTCATTGCTCTTAGAAACTGGTTGCATCAAAGTTGACAACATCTATAAAACTGCATTCATGCAGCAATTTGTATGAAAATAAATTTAGATAAAACATGCCGATAGGGACATCAGAGTGACAATGCTTGGGATCAGTCATAACATAAGCACTGCAATTGACCAATTTTAAGTTTATCTGCTAAAAAATGTACGCAAGCGTGGAAGGCTCAAAGAACAAGTGCATCATTCCTATAATATGTACTAAATAACTGGACCAGCACAGGTATCCCGGATACGCGAGTGTCATGGAGCAGGGCGATCATAGGTCTCCAAGCGCCAAAATTACGCGGGCGACGCGAAACCATGCACACTTTCACCAGAAGAAGCCATTGCGAACCAAGCTACAAACCTTTCCCTTAGTGTCAGTCATTTTTGCAAAGATTAGTTGTCTCTGACTATCAAGTTTTCACGATACCCCGCCCGCAGAACAACACAACACGCTGCTCTACCACCGGCGAAACCGAAGAGGAAGAGCGCGGCACGACGTACGTAGAGGCGTCATGTGCATCTGTTCAACACAAACCAAAGATACTTATGCTTAGTCTATGGCCACCAAGCAACGTAACGTACTTAGCTAGTGAATGCTATTATTCGGTCAGCTCTGAGATCACTCGACGATCACCCAATGAAACAGCTTACTTACAGCAGCGTCACAGCTGCGATAGGCAGCTAAGAACATTTTTTATGATTAGACTTCAGTAATCTGCTGCAGAAATATGAATGCGATCTTATTGCAAATTTTCAGCCATTTTGGATGTTTTTATACCGTCAAAGACACTGAAAATTTTTTTTATATATAAATGGGTAGGAAGGCTTGGCGCATTTCTTTATTCTTATGTTGCAGGTTGTTAAGAAGACACATAGTAATAACTACAATAAATTCCGGTACTTTTCGGCTTATTCAAAAGCCATGAAGATCTTAAACAGCATAATTTAGGCAAATTAATTTAAGAAATGACGAGATCAATTGTCGGCTCGCTTTATGTCTTCAGTCTTTGTTTTACATGCTCGTCTTGAATTGTGCTGCATTATTATCTTGATCAGCTATGCATAGAGTAGCGCGGAAGAGGCGAAAACAAAATGCGTGTAAATTGCCTTGCTTCACCGAGGCCCACGAAGGTGTTTGGGAACCCTTTGGGATTTCAGGGGTGGTGCGATGGGCCTTATCCCGTCGGTTTTGGGTGCTAGTGACATTTCCTCCTGCCTGTTAACTTTTTAAAAATCCACCAGCCTCAGCTTCAAGTGTAGTGTTTTTGCTGCCATTCCGCAAGCAGCAGCTAAAAGTGTCGTGAGCCTGCACTACACTTGCAGCAACCAGAGGAAAGATTTATGAGCCGTTCTGTGCCTTGGACATAGGTAGCAGTACATAAATCTGAGGTACGTGTATGGAGTAATACAAACATATGCTGGGTATTGCTTTCTGGAATACACTGCGTCAAATCCTCCGTAGGCACCACATTTTGTAGACATTTTATTGTTACTAGCTGTGCTTGGACCAAATTGAAGTGCTGTTTGGGTTTTTTGTGATGCTTTCAAGGCCTCTTTGGCTATGGTGACAATACATTTATGTGTTGATTAGAGCTCTAAATTTGCGGCTGCTTTGTTTCATATACTTATTTAACCTATGTGTTAGGTGTCTGTTCAAAGTATATGATGCTTTTTCACAGTTCAAGATTTGAACAAGCCTTAGCAGGTGCCATGGGCATATTGCTTGTTCACACTTAATTATCATGCTTTACCTGGGATTTGCAGGCATTACAATGGATGACAATATTGAAAAACTTGTTCTGCAAGGCTGTTCTTGGGCAAGGCTGCCCACTCATGTTAAAGAGGTAAGACCAAATATTTATCATTCATCATTTTGGATTGCAGTAGTAATGTGTGTTGTAGCATTTTAATGAGATGCTTCAATGTCATCTTGAAAAGTGAAATGGAATTTAAGCATGGAACAAGCATTGTAGACCATACAAGCTCAGACTTCCATTTCAAGACAGGTTTAATGTCCTATTGTTGTTGTGACCCCTGAGAGTATCTACACTGGTGGGAATCTGAGTACTTTACAAATTCTGTGAGGTAATAAACTTTTATTCAAATTTGCTGACTGATTTGCTCAGTTTGGTTACTAGAATAGATTGCCGACTGAACATTAATGAAGTTAGGAGTTTGTTTGAACTGTATTGTCATGCTTGCACCAAAAGTGAAATATTGGATGTGTTGAAAAAAGAAGGAGAGATATAGAAGTGGAGATAAGTTACTTGTTTAACTTACTTTTGGCTCTTTGTTAGGCTAAGCAGTATTATACCCATATGATACACAGAATACCTGATGTCAAATGTAAGTGAAAATAAACCCAATTATTGGTTTTGTTTTTCAGTACCTGGGCCAGTCACAGAAGGAATATGAAAAGCATGTGCTGGATGTCAGCATAAAAAACCAGCTTCGCCACAAGGGAAACCTTGGTAACTGCAAGAATGCAATGTCTTATGATATCTGGTCATCTAGCCCATGGCTTGAAGGGGAGGAGTCTGTAACCTAGGAATTGCGTGTCATATGTTCTTTATTACTTTATTTTATTGGCTAATGCATCATCAGTGCATGAGTTAGCCAGTAACTGCAGCATGGGCATACATGTATTTTGTTTGTTGAAGTTGTTTAAATATTCTGCTCAGCTCAAGTGATATGTTGATTGTTAAATGATAGTGAGGAACAGAGGGTAAGAAAGCTGTAATTTTTCCATGCAATGTTTTTTACCTGATTCTTACCAGAAAGCTGGTTATTTCCTTCCTTGTGTAGATGAGAGTAAAGGTATATTAAAGGCTGCAAGGTAGATAATAGCTTTATGGTATCATGACCATACACTTGGTCAAGTAAAGTAAAGCTCACTCATCAACACCACAGCAAGCAATCATGGGAATGGTGCTTGGCCATGCTGCCCAGCCCAGCCCACCACATTGTGGTGTGTGTTATGAGATTAGTTGGACTAGTGTCCATTGCTGATCTAAGTCCTGCATGGGCCAGCTCTCAGAGCAGTGTGTGATCTGGAGTGAGCCAGCACCCACTTCTCCAGTGATCTGATTGTGGTGCTTGGGTGGGCCCTCAGTGCAGCGCGTGTTCCGGGATGAGCCGGCCTACTACCGCCAGCTGGTGCAGTACAGCCAGCAGCACCTGATGCTGTACCCGTACCACCTGGCCGACATTGTGGTCAAGGGCCTGCGCCTCAGCCCATTTGAGTACTACATCAGTGTGGTGCAGCGGATCATGGAGCAGGAGCGCAGCTACGACTCGCTGCCGAACTTCACGGCCGCCGACTGTGAGTCGCGACCGTGGTCTGGGCGGTGTCAGTCGCTCTTACGGTCCGTGTCGGTCGCTCGTGGGGTCCGTGGTGTCAGCCGCTCGTGGGGTCGGTGGTGTCGCTCTCGGGTCCGTATAGTCGCTCGTGGAGTCGGTATCAGTCGCTCGTGGGGGTCGGTGTCAGTCGCTCGTCGGGGTCGGTGTCAGTCGCTCGTGGGTCCATGTCGTCAGTCGCTCTTGGGGTCCGTGTCAGCCACCCTTGGGGTCCGCTAGAGTTGGTGTCAGTTCGGTTCTCACGTCGGTATGTGTTGTGTCGTAGATGTCCGCGAGAGACTTCTGTTGGTTTGAGACCACTAGCTGTTCCACTGTGATGACATTTAGTTGGAGAGCTTGCTGGTGTGTGTGGTAGGGATGATTTTAGAAGGTTTGACTCAGTCCTGTCTCGCTCCGCCCGGATCATTGGTGAATTCACTGACTGTTGCCTGAGATATTGCGGGGATCGCCGCATCTTCGACACGATATCTCGAAGTCATTCTCCAACGTTAGAACCGTTGTCATGCTCATATTAAGGCTACGGGCGTTTACCATCTAGCGAACCTGGAAGTCGATGGTTGATGCTGTAAGTTGCAACAGTCGTCAGTATCTTCGTACAGGGACTTTAGAGGCGTGCTGTCTATTCGTCCTGGCACCTGGCACATGTTGGGGGCGGCAGTTATCCCCACCTGTCCACCAGCGCGTGATCCGCGCGTCCGAGCCGACCGCCGGCAGCCGACACGTCACCCCGCGCCGGCAGGCCTGCGACTGCTGGGCATCGGACGCAACCAGTACATCGAGCTGATGAACCAGTGCCGCTCGGGCCTGAAGCAACGCATGGCCTTCCGCAAGCGGTCGGTGCGGCCGCTGCTGCCGGCCAAGCCCGTGCCCGTGTTCATCGACCCCAGCTGGCGGGTGGACGTCGGCCTGGTCATGGAGGACGACATCAAGGTGCGGCGGCGGCGTCGGCGGTCCCGCGCGGCGGCGCGTGGTGGGGAGCTGGGGCGGAGCGGTCCGTCAGGCTGGCGGGCTGGGCCGGGGGCTAGACAGCTGATGGCGGCCGATTCCTCGCAGTGCGTGTGGCGTGTCGATAAGACGGTAGCAATAGCCTTATTCCTCGGAGAAAAAAAAACAGGAGAACAGATATATAGATACGTTGATACTCCAGCAACGTGCCTTTATCAAAACGAATAGCAGAAGTGAAAAATTCACTTCCGATTTTTTCAATTTTCACTTCCAGCAGAAGCAAAAAATTCCCCTCTGCTATTCGTTTCGATAAAAGCGTGCTGCCGAAATATCAACACATCTCTATGTCCATTCTCCTGGGTTTTCTCCGAAGAATAAGGCTGTTACTACTGTCTTATCTAGGTCAGTAATGTTCCTCGCGCATGCACTGAACAACTTACGCGTTTCGTGTTCTGGGATTTGGCAATGTTGGCGGGTCCTGTGAGGCTGGGTGTCCTTCTCGCGGGACAGGTGCAGACGTTTCCGGAGCACGAGCGCGGCAGACCGATTCCCCGATCGAGGAGCAGAGCTGGGGTGATGTCACGGTCGCTGCGGCGGACACGCCTGAGTGAAGGGACCCAGATCTGTGCATGTGGCTTCCCGCTGCTGGTGGCACCTGTGTCTGACTGGCCTGGCCCGGACCCTGGCCGCACCTCTGACGGTACCTGCTGTTCCGCGACCCCTGTGCCGAGCCGATCTGACCGTCTCCTTCCAGGCTGATCTGAGCTGTGGCCGGCACCGTGTCCGCCAGCCTGCGGGGTCGACGCACCCCTGCAGCGGACCCAGCAGACCCGGAGCCGCCGTGACCAATCGTTTGCCCCACCGCCCGATACGGTGTGTGCCGAGGCTCGGCGCCCGCCCGGGGCTGGCGTCGGCTGACCCTCGTCTGCCCTCCAGGTGCTGTCCTCCGGCCAGAAGGCGCTGGTCGACCTGCTGATCGACAACAAGTCTCAGCTGGTGGGTCAACTGGACCACGGCGTGGTGCACTCGCTCTACTCGTAAGTCGATTACGCGCCGTTGACACGGATCCACTGATGCACGTGCCTTGCGCAGGATGTGTGCTCTGGGGTTTGAAGGAAATTTACACATGGCGCAGCGAGGATGAGTATTTACACTGTTGGACGGGTACATCGCACCTATACTTTGACACACTTACATTACATGAAACCGGAACGCAGCTTTTGCGAAGGCGGATAGCGGAAATGCTGTAATGTAGTTGGAATTACGGTGCCGAAATACTGTTGCACCAAATACCGTATATTTCACTGTCGCTGCTGCACTTGCCCCTCCCCCCCCCCCCCCCATAGGCCTCAGTTGTTTCTCCCAACTTTATGTGTCAACTGGCGGTGAGGTGGCTAATGACTAGTTGGTCTCTCTTCAGGAAGGGCCTGATCTACGTGGTCGTGCCGGTGCACGACGACGATCGGTTCTCGGTTCCACCGCTAGAGGGCTTCGTCATGAACCGCGTCCTCGGAGACTACTTTGAAAAGCTGCTGTACAAAATATTCGTGTCCATCGATGAAAAGACGACGGTGGCTGAGGTGAGGGATGCGCTCTGCATGCCCTCTGCTCGGGGAACAAGATTTAGTGGTGTCTGATCTCGCCTGACGGTGCTTCGAGACAGCCACGCACAGCTGCACGAAAACATTCCGCGTGAGCAATGCCTTATGTGCCGTTTGCTAATTTTCCAGTCGGTATTCAGGTCTCTGGAAGCCAAAGGGCGCCTTTGTCTGTTTTTTTTTTGCTTTTTTGTTTTGGTTTTTGGTTTTTTGTTTGTACGTCTGGCGCAGAGTACAGGTTTGTACAGGTCGTTGCTGACCTAACTTGGTATGTCCCGGTGGTGGTGCGTCTCGCTGCCTCTCCCCCCCCCCCCCCGGGCTGTGTGCGCCAGGACCGTCCGGCGGTATGACCTCCCCCTCTCTCTTACACTGCCCGGTCATGTGACACCTCCCCTCCGGCACCATCCGGCCGTGTGACACCTCCCCTTCGACACCGCCCGGCCGTCTGCCACCTCCCCTTCGACACCGTCCGGCCGTGTGACACCTCCCCTCCGACACCGCCCGGCCGTGTGACATCTCCCCTTCGACACCGCCCGGCCGTGTGACACCTCCCCTTCGACACTGCCCGGCCGTGTGACGCCTTCTCTCCGACACCGTCCGGCCGTGTGACGCCTTCTCTCCGACACCGCCCGGCCGTGTGACACCTCCCCTCCGACACCGTCCGGCCGTGTGACGCCTTCCCTCCGACACCGCCCGGCCGTGTGACATCTCCCCCTTCGACACCGCCCGGCCGTGTGACATCTCCCCTTCGACACCGCCCGGCCGTGTAACACCTCCCCTTTGACACCGCCCGGTCCTGTGTCCAGCAGCTGGCGGCCGTGCTCCAGATCGACCTGCAGCTGGTGAAGAACGCCGTCTCCGTCTACTGCCGGCTGGGGTTCCATACCGCTCGCCTGTGTGACACCTCCTTTCTGACACTTCCCGGTCGTGTGACACCTCCTGACACCGCCCGGCCCTGTGCCCGGCAGCTGGCGGCCGTGCTACAGATCGACCTGCAGCTGGTGAAGAACGCCGTCTCCGTCTACTGCCGGCTGGGGTTCGCGCGCAAGAAGGGCCCGCCGCCGGAGGAGCTGCACCCGTCCTGGCGTCACGTGGAGCGGCAGGTGTCAGCCGCGCCCGACTCCATCCTCGCGACGCCGGCCACTCCCGCATGGTGCGTTGACGGTCCCGGGAAATAGAAGGAGGGGAGCGAAAAGGAGGAGGGGGAGGGGAGGGGAGATGCTCTGAACTGTATGAGTGTTTGCCTGCCATGTAATGTTACTGGTGAGGGGGAGGGTTTATGAGCAGGCGATCACGGAACACAGACCTCGTCAGGGCAAATTCGGATGATTTGATTAGTCCATCGCATACTTAGATAGACACAGTATGTTTGACTTGTTTCAATGCAGAGGTTTCGTTCCACACTAGTGAAAGTCATGATGTGCCCACTTCAACATTCCAGAAGCTTCCAAATTCTGTGCTGGGCTTGTCAGCTGGGTTGCTGTAGTTACATCCTAATGATAGGACTCCTTTACTACGCTCGTCTGCCAGCACTGCTTTGACAGCCGTTCTGACAGTTTCTTCTGTCAATGAACCAAATGGTGCCGATCTGTCCGTGTGTCTCTGCTGGTGTCCTTCTGGTGTTGCCCGTCTGCTGGAGTCTCCCTGCCGACACTCTTCGACCAGCACCCCTCCGAACCCCTCTGTTAGCACCAGTGTCAGCACCACTCTGACACCCCTCTGACGCCCCCTCTGTCAGTGTTCCTGTCAGCGCTCCTGTCACCACTGCCGCTCTGACGCCCCCTTTGTGGGCCCCCTGTCAGCCTCCCTATCAGCACCGCCCCTCTGACGCCCTTCTGGCTCCCCTCTGACGCCCCTCTGAAGGCCCTCTGTCAGCGTCCCGTCAGCGCCGCCGCCCCTCTGACACCCGCGCGCCGGCTCTCCGCCAGCGAGGAGGAGGACGACCCGCTGATTCGGGAACTGCAGGAGGCGCTGACTGAGCAGCGGCTGGAGGAGACGGACGGCCCCGCCGCCACCGCCGCCGAGCCGGCGCTCGCCGCCGACGAGGCCCGCCCGCCGGCCCGCCGCGTCGCTTTCCTCTTCGACTCCACGCTCACCGCCTTCCTCATGATGGGTAACCTCTCACCGGTGAGCAGGGCGCTGGCCGGGCGGCAGCGACGGGCGATCCGTGCGGCCGTGATCTACGTGTAGTTTGAATGACAAGGCGTGGAGGAGGGTTGATGGGGTTAAGTTGTAATGATCGTGTCATTGTTGTGCGTGGTTGACCGGTCACTACATGTGTCTCCGCTGAGGCATGCCTTCCAATGGCCGCCCTGGAGGTTTATTGCTCGTGACGTCTTGTCTGACTGGTCCCGTGTGACTGGTGTCTCTGTGTCTGACGGGCTGGCCGTGCGGACCCCAGGGCCTGAAGAACCACGCGGTGACCATGTTCGAGGTGGGCAAGCTGCCGGACGAGTCGGTGGACTCGCTGCTGATAGAGCTGGACAAGATCACCACGGAGGAGAGTGAAGGCGAGGCCGAACGGTACTTCCTGCACGCGCTGGCACTCAAGCTGGTCATACAGGTGCGCCGGTGGTGTCAGGGTGTTTATAAGGGCGTGTGCCGGTGTGTTTGTGTGTGTGTGTGTGTGTGTCAATGTGAGTCAGAGTGCATGTCAGAGTGTGTGCTAGTTTGGGCGTCAGAGTGTGCCAGGGCGTGCGCTAGGGCGTGTATCAGGCTTTATGTACGGGTGTGTGTTGGGGAATGTTTGTTACGGTTTGTGTCAGGACACGTGTCAGGCTGTATGTCAGGATGTGTGTGTTAGGGTGTGTGTCAGTGAATGTCAGCATGTGTTTCAATGTGTGCGCCAGGGCATGTGTCAGGACGTATGTCAGGGTGTATATTGGTGTGTATCAGGGCGTGTGTCAGGGTGTATGTCAAGGTGTGCATCAAGGCGTAGGTCAGGGCGTGTGTCAGGGTGTATCTGGCTGCGTCAGGCCGTGTCACAGGATGGGCCGCCACTCTCTGCTTGGCTGCGCGTGACGCGATGACGACCTGTCGCGGACCGCTCTGACGTAATGACGCGAAGCTCCTATTGCGGCTATGCGCGCGCGGCATGTCCGCTCTCGCGTGGCGATCCCAGACACAGCGCGCGTCCCATGTCGTGGGCCCCCACCGCCAATGGTCGCTGAAGCCAGAACGCCTGACGTGCGCGTGGGTGTGGGTGGATGGATGGGTGTCTGTTAATCCCCACCTGTAGGTGTGCGTCACTGTTCGGCTGTGCATGACAGCCTCAGCGTTCGTCTGTAGATGTGCACACTTCCGTATTTACGCCCAGGCACGTGTGTCTGTGCCTGTGGCAGCACTGCGTCGCGTGTCTGATCAGGCCGATCCGGCCGGTGTTTGCCAGGTGCTGCGGTGCAACCCTCGGCTGCTGGAGCTGCCGCTGGACCTGGTCCGCTGCGAGAGTCTGCAGAGTCTAGATCCGGCCACCTGCGGCCGCCTCCTCAACAAAAACTACCAGTGAGAGGCAACGTCCCGAGCCTGTGACCGTGCCCGTGCCCGTGCCCGTGCCCGTGCCCGTGCCCGTGCCCGTGCCCGTGCCCGTGCCCGTGCCCGTGTCAGTGTCCGTGTCTGTCAGTGCCCGTGTCCGTGTCCGTGTCTGTCAGTGTCCGTGTCCGTGTCAGTGTTCGTGTCCGTGTTTGTGTCCGTGGGACCGACACAGGCATGGGTTCGTCTCGTTCCTGCCGGGCCCCCGGAGCGCAGACCGCAGTCAGCAGCGTCTCGATGTGGCAGCGAGAGCTGTGCAGTGTATGGGCATTCACATGTGCCGTGCGGGGTGTGTTCTGTTTCGCTCGGTATCCAGTTCTTGCGATCGACTGGTCTGATTTTGATGCGCCGCTTGGCGGCTTCGCGTAGATGATGGCGACTCAGACACTTCGGCGACATGGTGAGCAGAACGGAGTGCGGGTGTCTGTATGTTTGCTGACCGATCCCTCCATGTCGGCAGGGTGCTGACCCATCCCCCGTCGGCGGGGTGTTGACCCATCCCCCTTCGGCGGGATGCTCGCCCATTCCCCCGGCGGCAAGGTGCTGGCCGATTACCTCATGTCGGCAGGGTGCTGACCGATCCCCCGTCGGCAGGGTGCTGAACCCCCCCCCCCCCCTCCCCCGTCGGCAGGGTACTGACCCATCCCCACGTCAGCGGGGTGCTGACACATTCCACGTCTGCAGGGTGCTGACCGATCCCCCGTCGGCGGGGTGTTGATCCATCCCCACGTCTGCAGGGTGCTGACCGATCCCCCGTCGGCAGGGTGCTGACCCATCCCCCGTCGGCAGGGTGCTGGTCTCGATGTGTCCCCTGAGCATGGAGAGCCGGGCGCTGGCCTCGGCCGAGCTGCCGCCGCACTTCGGCCCGGCTGTGCCGGAGGTCAACTCAGTATGGCTGAAGCTGTACCTGTACCATCTGACCGGCTCAGGACCGCCCTCATTCTGCCTCACCAAAGGTTTGTCTGCCGACGTCACGCCCAGTTTGCAGTGGCGTGTGCTTGACCTCCGGCCGGGTCACCAGGCGACCATAATGCTCTAATGGCCTTGGCGGTGCGTGCGTGGATAGATGAGCCAACAGCCAAACTTGGCCAGCCTCCGGCCGAGGAGCGGTCTTCGCGCTAGCTCAGCCGTCCGCCGGCGAAGTCTGTAAGATAGCCGTGGCCGCGGCCGGCCGCCGGAGCGGGCCGTGACGCCACGCGCCGCTGCTGACGCGCCTGGCGCCCGCGCCGCCGGCAGGCAGCCGCCTGCGCTCGCTGCCGGAGCCGCTGGCGCCGTTCGAGCGGCTGCTGGTCACCACCTGGGGGCACGACCCGGTGGTGATCCCGGCCAGCAACGCGCTGCTCACGCTCAACGACGCCCTCTCGCACTCGGCCGTGCTGGTGCAGGTGAGCTCCCGGCTGGGGGCCGGGGGCTGGAGCGCTGGCGGCGGCAGGGCCGTCAGCCTCAGGCCGGAGGGGCACCTCCTCAACTCGGGCTACTCACCTCTTCCAGAGGGTCAGCTCTTGTGCATGTAACATTTGAGTGGTGGGTGAGACAGGACTGATGGGAAAACGTGTCACAAGTCGATTTAACGAATCTCATCATGGCCTCGGATCTCCGTGCCGTGAAACCGCAAGTTGCATGTTGAATGTTTACATATCTTATCAGATATCAAAACAGGGTACCACTGTGCGGCGACTTCTGACCAGACCCCCACAGCCTGGCATGCCTTGCTCTGCAGCCGTCTGTCGCCCCGCCCCGTGCATCCCGTGCTGACGCCACCCTGGGGCTTGCGTGTGACCTCTCCCCGCCCGCAGGCGTTCGGCTGGAGCCAGGAGGGGCAGGTGCGGCACGTGACATTCCCGCTGGAGCCGAGCGAGCGGCCACCGGCGGCCGTTGCCGCGCTCGGTCGCCACCTGGCGCTGGCCAGCTCGTGCGGATTCGTCAAGCTGCTGCGTCTGCGGCCCCCGCCGGCCGCCGGGCCGCCGCCGCACCCGGCGCGGGAGCCGCCGCGGCGCCGGCCGCCACCGCCCGCCTGGCTCCGCTCCGGTCGGCCAGCGCCCGCCGGTCCGTCGCCGGCCGAGACCCCGGCCGAGACCGCGGCCGGCCCGGCCGGCCACGCCGCCGCCGACGCCACCCACGCGGCCGGTCCGGGCGCGGTGGGCGGGCTGGCGGCGGTAGCCAGTGCGGACGCGGCGGGCGGGGTGGCGGCGGAAGCCGGTGCGGACGCGGCGGGCGGGTCCGGCCGCCAGCCGGCGTCGGACGAGCCGCGGAACGGTCTGCGCAGCCGGGAGGCGGCGCGCCTCCTGCAGGATGAGGTGGACCACGTGGCGGCGGCCGACCCCGCCCCCGCCGGCCGGACAGAGCAGGCCGACCGAACAGAGCAGGCCGAGCGGACAGGGAAGGTCGACCAAACAGAACAGGCCGACTGGACAAAACAGACCATCCGGACAGAGCAGGACGGGGACGACGACTGGGTGCTTCTGGGCTGCTTCTTCGGCCTACCGCTGTTTGACCTGGCACTGTGTCGCCAGGTCAGCCGGAGCATGGTCGAGGGTGACATGTTCCGGCCCGAGAGGTGAGTGCAGGCGGCGCCACGAGCGCAGAGGCGACCCAGGCTGCCTCTCAGCCTCCGATGTGAGGCCACTTCAGGTCGATGCAGCTCTGGGAGGTTTTTGTGGATAGTGTCGTTGCGAATACACGACGAAATAGACAACTAAGGGGCAGGGGACATCGACAGAATGGACCGTATGCTGTTGATGTTGGTAAGATATCAGCCGCCGTCGGCCATTTGGCTCTGGATATTTGTCCTACATTTCCCAGTGAGCTGTGTTTGTTTTTCTGATTTTCCCAGCTGTTTGTCTGAACTAACTCTCGCATCTAATGAACATGCAATGTGCCACCATCAAAGCGCGTGACATGTCAGGAGAAACGGTCCGACAGTGGCCACCTGTCGGTATTGAGTTAGCCGCTAAGTTCGGAAAAGAGGCCGGACGGCTTCAGTGAGTGAGCGCTGCGGGCCACGCCCTCAGCAGGCGACGTTCGAGCCTCGTGTGTTCTGCTGGTGCTCGAGCGGCGAGTTAGCGGCTAAGTGTATTGGGGGCTCACACTGCTTTGGTGCCCGCACGCTGCGTTGGTGTCGGCTGGCACATTGCGTTGATGATGACTGAGACAGTGCGGAGAATTTAAGTCAGGTCGCGGTGATGAGATGGTGCTGTTTTGCCGGGCACGTTTTCCGGTCACTCGCTGCCGTTAGTACCGGTGGTTCCCTTTTGCAGCCTGCAGCGGCTGGCAGAATTCAACGAGTCGTTCGGCGAAGGACTTCTAGAGTTCATGTTTCATTACCAGGTAAACTAATGCTCGGATCCAAACGGCATGCCGGGATCGTGTTCGTATTTGTATGTCGATGTTGTGGTATGTTTTTGCCTCATATTGGACCATTGGAATGTCGGGCAGTTCTTGGTCGGCATTACTGCATGCCTGAATCGGTAGCTTCCTTCGATGGCTAGGAAAATGTAAAGTTATGAAAACTATCATTCCTCCGAAGATCGGTATACAAATGGAGCTATGCCCGACCAGCGTTGTAAAAGAAAATTACGATTAAGTGGATTCGGACTTCCGGCCTGTCCGTGGCACCTCGTGGCGGGCACTGGCCCTGCGCGTTGAGCCTCAACTTGTTTTCGCAATCTGGTGAGAGATGGCACCACAATTCTCGCCCTGTCTACGAGTTTAAGGGTTTGAGAGATGTGTCTACTCGTGGTAGCTCTAACCTGGTTTAAGCGCTTACGTTCCGTGGCAGCGTATCAGTTCCGTGACAGCGTACCAGACTATCAGTCTATGGCTATCTCACTGGAAGTCGCACGTCGCGTGGACGTGCTAGATTCTGACTCTGTCCACCAGGCGGCAGCAGGGGCGACCACCAGCTGTTCGTCCGGTGTCCGTCTGCCCACGCAGAGTCTCGCCTTCTTCGACGGCGAGCTGACCACGTGGCCTAACACGTGACGCGTGACGTGACGTCTGGCGATCGAGTGAGGTGGCGTCCGCCGTGAGCGGCCGCAGCAGGGGCCAGGAAGCCCGCGCCGCCGGCCGGGCGTGTTCCGCCGTCGTGCACCCGAGATGCGCTGTCGGCAGGGTTGTGCCTGATGTCGATTACAGAGTGGCTTTACCTTACCATGGACACAGGTGTGTATGTGTGCAATCAATTAGGGAGTGTCACATATTGTACTAGTTTTAATTGATTGTGAACAAAGTGCGGTATATGTGTGTAAGTCATGCGGGGTACTTACTTCCATACACTTATTCTGCCATAGCCGAAAATCCTGTTACATGCTTTTGTCTGTGATGAGTGTGCTACATATGCTATGGAATATGGGTGCCTGGTGGGAGTGTTTCCATTCCAAATTATCCTGGGCTGTGCGTTTCACTGCAGCATTCCTGGCTGCTCTATAGCATTTATCGTCGCGGCGTCTGTTGTCTGCGTGATATATTTTGTGGGCCAAGATGTCGTTATCTTACACAGCGACAAGAGTGAGGACCGCTGTTTTAATACAAACCGCAGGGACAGAAAAGGTAAATCTTTAACTCACTGGTGGACCATTGCCGGGCCAATGTTTGGAACGAAAGTGAGACGTGGGGACCTATTAATACACAAAGCGGGTATGCACCCTGCGGTCTCATTTCAACGTACCTACAGTACGTCCAGCGTCTTCCTGCGAGAGTGACATACCAGAATCCATCTTTCGGGAAAGTTCTGCGATTCCGCGGCCTAGTCTCGCATTTCTGTTGCATGGCAACAGTCGTCGCGGATAGGCTGCGTGCTGTGCGTTCGTGTGGTTGATAACACCTGTAGTGAGTTGCACTAACTGGCGCTCCCGGCCTGCCCGCGGATCGTGTAATGCCTCCCGGTCTACGCCCCCGCTGATAACACCCAGCTTTGCTGTTCAAGTCGTGACTCGAACGTCGGAACGAAGCCAGTTGATATATTTCAAATTGGGACGGATTAAAGCTAGTCCAGCCTTGCTACTGAAGTTACTACGGCATCAGGTCATGCATGGATGTAATATCACAGCACGGACACCTATCGATTTGTCATGCACGATGCCTTGCGCCCGACTCCGATAGTCAGATTCGACCCCGAATCCGCCCAGCGAGGCATGGTTAGAGGGCATAGATTCCTCTAAAATGCATGTAAGAGGGTTTCGAAATTGGGTCGGTCGCGCCGGTGAGTGGTATCGGGCTATATAAGCGATGAGTGTCGCACAGACGGAATGGCCACGGGTGTAGATTCGTATTGTTTTGTGAGGGCCCTGGCCCCTCTAATATTGAGTTGACCCCCCACGCCTCAATATTGGCTCGGCCCCCTAATGTTTTTGGCTGGAATACTACGACAACGTGGGTAAAAGATGATCGTAAACCAGATACTATCTTCTTTGGTCTTTCTGCGAAGTGGTGTCCCATGCCACTCTAATAACAAAAAGTCATGGTTGCTCTCACCACAAGATGCAAATCGCAACAGCTGAGCGGATGAACGATGCGCTAAACTTCACATGCCTAGCGCCATAAGACAAGCCATGATTTGTAAGGTTAAAGTAAAAAAAAAAACTCTGGAGTGCGGGGATGACTTCATGGTTTGCCCCGTCCCCGTCCCCCACAACCAAAACGCGCGCCGCCTCCCATGAGCGCCATCGGCGCCCTAGGGTGGCTCTAAAGGGGCGCCTTCGCTTGCTGACCAGGGGAGACGTGTGCGTCCAGTGCCTGCTCCCTGGATCCAGCCTTGCATGACTACTGCTTAAATTAAAGCCTCCTTAAACTAAAGATACTGCTTAAATTAAATAATTTTTAAATGAATTATACGAATATTAAAAACATTTGTTACTCTGATCAAAATAAAGTGGGCTAAATCCGGTCAGAAAAAAGGGGGCGGGGCGGGGGGGGGGGGGTAGCTTTTCGAGCCTTCAGTTCGGCCCAACAATAATTTACAAAAGTTGACACCCCTTGGGAATTGCTACTACAAAATCATCAACCTAGCGTGTGCTCATTATGCAGCGCATGTAACTCATGATGTGTTGTTATATGTTCATCACAATACAAGTCCGACGTAGTTTTCTTTCGCAAGCGGTATCGTTGCACGCATACAATAAATGGCTCAGTTTCATACGGCCTTTCGGCTCCAATGAAATCATCCTGAATGCAACCACGGCTGCTTCAGTTGAAATGCGAGGCGAATCAGAATCAGGCCTTACCAATACACTCAAGAGCCGAAATCAAACGTGGAATCGAGCGTAAGTCCAGCTATAACTAAAGCAACCCCAGGAAAGTAGCTGTTTAATTGATCGCTGCTGAGGAGTCGGTGACCTTCACGATCTAAGGGTAAATTTGCAAATATTTAAAGGGCTCAAGCGCACAATGCGACCTAGCTTAATGCTGGCGTCTAAATAAGTTAGGTAGAAGCACTACCCGCTATTTTCATTTCCAAAGTAATTATTCCTTATTTGGCCATATTTCGATGCTCCGGACAGTCTTTCAAGGATGCTAAATTTGGTTACAAATTGTGGAATGTGGAACCGTCTGATACTTGGCAGTTTCAGGTACGTATGAGTTCTTTTCTCTTACTGTGTGAATGTGATGTTACACATCCTTGCATCGGTTGGTCATATTTAAACATACTAGCCGTAATATGACAGTAAATAAGCGATTCCGTAATGATAGCTGTTGTTGCGTTCATGGCGCATGCGACGTATCCGGCGTGGCAGTTGCACGGTGAAGGGCCTCAACGTGCGCGAAGTATTGGCATTTGTGATTAGTTTGCGAAAGGTACGGCGGTCACCTGTTAAACATCTAGTGGACTAGGTACGTTCCTGCAAAAAGAAATGTGGACGGTGTTTCAACTGTGGTGGTGATTTAGCATGGGGCGTGTTCAGTGCATATTCCCCTAGTTAATGGATAATTATTCCACTCTGCTTTCTGCACTATTATCACCTTGGATTTTGCCGAGAACACCTTGCCTGCTTGTTTTTAAGTTAGAGTTTCCACCCATATCTCTCACTACCAGTGCTAAATATAGTTCATGATCAGTCTCAAATCTGGCAAGGATGTTGAAGTGCGTGGTTAAGCTCCAATCCTGCCCCTGGTGTCAACACAGCTGGCATTCCCCAGATTCCCCATTTTGTATGTTATGTTAGTCTGCTTTCCTAGACTGTGTGCAAATGAGCCACTGTATAATCTAGCACTTAGTTTGTTTTACTCCTTAAAGCAAGCTTTGCATGTGTCCACATTAACAGATGTGTCAATGTATGTCTGTGGTGATGTTTTTTATTGCTGTGTTGTTGCATCATTGGTTGGAGGGACTGCAATCAAGGCTTTTTAATGAGGTGAAGCAGTCTGCTTTCAAATAGCAGTACAATGTGTAGTGTTTCATGGCCTTTGGTGCCATCATTGTGGCATGCTACTGAACTGGGTTCTCACAGCGTCAGTCTGCAAAAAAAATCCATCCACTGCACCAGAAGCCTACAGAATTGCTGTGTGTCAAACATTGTGCTTGCATGTACAAAATTTGGAACAGAGCAAGCTGCACTGAATTTCCAGATTGCTTTGGAGTGTAGAAATATGCTATGACTTGTGAGTATCTTTGCCTGACATTCTGACCAACTCCTAATTACTTGTATTTGTGGCACTCATGCACTGAAATTGTTGCTGCATAACTACTACTGTGTAATAAGTGTTTTGCAATATGGTTCCGGGGCAGGTACCATTTTTGCTTTATAGATGCTGATAGGCTTGCCGCTTATCCAACTTAGTTTTAACAAAAACTATTCCGCTTACCAGGCACCATGCAAGAAACTTATAGTTAAGGAAAGACGTGACAGTGTAGATCAATGTTGGATTGGTTTAGATGGCACCAATATGTCAGCATTATATTATTGTAGGTGGTCAAGTATGCATTCATTTTGCAGTTGAGTTTTGTGAGCTAGCCTCAGCTCTTTTGATGTGTTATGTCTGGAAGCCAGGTTTGTATTGCATGCAAAATTGCAGGAGAAAAGCCTGCATGAAAATTTGCAGGAAAAACTGCATCAAATTGCAGCCTCTGTGGTCTTGGGGAAAGATGCTGGACTCGTAATCCAGCAGCGGCACTGGGTACGAGTCCCGGAGTGGGCGCATTGTTTGACGGGACTGAAATGGAAAGGCCAGCTGGCAGCTGGCCAATAAGGTTCAACCCAGACCCCAGGTGGCCCTGTCGCAGCATTGTGCGGCAAGTAAAACCCTCCCCATTCCTGTCTGGCAAAAGGGCAGAGGCAAAATTAGCTGTTGAACTGGATGGCACGCTTGGTTGGTGGGTTCAAGGTACACACAAGCTATGCTTAGCAGGTACTCTGAATCCAAAGTCACCTATACAACCATTCAGAATATAGTTATTTTTTAAAAATTGTAAGGAAAATATTGATCCAATTTTGAAGCCTAGGTGGTTGGCTTTGTCTTCAGCTGTATATCATTTCTTATGCCTGGCCTCAGCTTTGACTTTAGCTTAAAATGATGCATTATTATCACCCAGGCTTGCAACTCAGGCAGTCTGGAACTGCTGGCTTCAAATTTGTCATGTTCTTTGGTACATACATGACTTAACCTCATTAAATTCAACCTTGTCCATTCTATCACCCAATATATCCTTCACAAAAGATTCAGCCTTGCCCATTCTGTCACCTGATGTCATACAACTTTTGAGACTGCCAGGCAAACATGACAGGAAAGCAGAAACCATCAGGCCATTCTGAGAACCTGGCAATCACTGGAAGACTAGCCTTATGTCTGAAACTTTGTGTGCAATGATAGTCAAAAATCAAAAAAATTGCCATTGTAATGTTGATGCCTTTTCTCATCTACACCACACAACCTCTTGATATCCTAGGCAGTTTTGGTAAATGCAAGGATAGTTTTGATTTTACAAGGTGGCATACTTCATATTTGACTTCAGCATGGTAGTTATATTTATGGGCCCAACTTTCACTTTATGCTTGTTGATTTTAGAGATGCTGAGTTGTTCTCAGATGCCTGTGTCAAGTTTGGAGCTACTGGCTTAGGTTTCAGCTTCATGACATTGTCTTGACTTCAGATTCAGATAACACCCAGAATCCTGGCCTCATCCCCTTGCCTGGCATGTTTAGGCGAATCCCTTCTGTGGATCAGAACTGTTGAGTTGACTTACTGAATGTAGAACACATGACAATCATCTCCGAAACTTGTACCATGCAGTTTCTGCCCCAAGGAAAGACTGACATGCAGGTATGGTGCTTGAGCCGACTTATTTTGCTTAGAAACTGCCTACACATCTGTGTTCGACCCATGAAATCGCTCGATCGAGCACAGCCCCTCGCCCGCCGCGTCTCCCAGCTGTGTCAACACCAGCCGGCGTGCGTGTGCCGCAGCTCCGCCGGCAGTGATGAACAGCGCTCCGGCGGCAGAGGAGCCGGCGGCGGCGGCGGCGCGCGGCGCGCGACCACCGCTGACGGCCGCCTCCAGCGCCGCCTCCATCGACGACAGCACCGTCTCGCTGGCCGGCACCGACCGGGCCGACGGCGCCGACCTGGAGCAGCTCTCGGACGAGGAGGAGGACGAGGCGGCCGCCGTCGTGGCCGGCTCGCTGCAGTTCGCCTTGAACGAGCCGGAGGCGCCGATCCGGGCCAGCGCGCAGCCGGCGTCGGCGGTCGGCGCTGGTGCTGGCGGCGACGGCGCCGACGTGGTCGCCGACGCCGACGCCGTCGCTGTCGCCGTCGCCGACACCGAGCACGAGCTCGGCCAGGAGCTCGATGAGCCGGCCGCCGTCTACACCGGTCAGTGGCGCCTGCGGGACGGCACGTAGTCCCGCCGCCGCGCCGCCGCGGCCGCGGGACTGCGGTGCGGGAGTTGGCGCGGTGTGTGGTGGATAACGTTTTTGGATGTGGAGTGACGGTTATAGACAACGTTTCATCCTTCGACCTGACAACTGTGTCTTTGCTTTCACGCTCAATTCTAAGTTCTGCATGACTTCAAACAGTGGTTGGGTGCAACTGTAGACAGGTGCTCTGGGCATGCATGCTTTTCTCTCTCATTTTGTCACAGGCACCGTCTTGACCATTTCCCACGATACCCTTAATTGTGTCAGCACAAAATTTGTGTAGTAACTCTGTCACACGAAGTATTATATTTGCGTTGCAATAGCTTGGCATGCCTGCATGTTACGTCTTTCAACACTATCCACCCGAATATTGCAGTCACCAGTTGGCAGGCATGTGTGTTTACTGCAGCCATATAATTACCTTTACTTATGGGACCGCAACCAGATTTGCTGCGGATGAAACCCGTTGCCTGATCGCCGCCGATGTCAAGGACCACAGTGCTGATTTTGAGCGCTGTTCGCCGCTGCCAAGACACGTGCCCGGCGTTTTCGGGCGCTGCTGACGGTCGCGGTGTGGTCAGGTCGTCCGGGCGATCCGGAGCTGCCCGAGGGCATCGACAAGGACACGGTCACCGTGCTCACCAACGAGTACGGCTGCAAGGCCTGGCTCATTGGCACGGCCCACTTCAGCAAGAAGAGCCAGGAGGACGTGGCCAAGGTACGCCGCCCGCCCGGCAGACGCCGTCTGCGGCTGCTGCTGCTGTTGCCGGCTTCCGACCGCTTCAGTCCCTGTGTCGATTTTGCCTGCTCGGGGCTGGCCAGATGACCATGCCACGGGGGGGGGGGGGGGGGGGGCACAGGCGCTGCTGTGTGTAACCAGGACAACCGAAGCGCTCATATGTCGTCATGCTCCTTCGTCGTCGTGCTGGGCCTGACGCGTGGCGGCGGTCCGTGCGGCAGCTGATCCGGTTCGTTCGGCCGGAGTGCGTAATGCTGGAGCTGTGTCGCAGCCGCGTCAACATCCTGCACATGGACGAGTCCAACATCGAGGAGGAGCTGAAGGCGCTCAACTTCGGTGAGCCGGCGGCCGCGCGCGGCGCCGTCCCCATCCTGGCTCTCACTGGTCATTCTAATCACTGAGAGGCGGGACCGCGGTGGGAGGTGGGCCGAAGAGGACCGGAGCTGCCGTCGTGGCCGATTTGTTAGACCGGTTTCTCGAGCGTGCGTGTCAAGTTTGCGCTACTGTGGCTGGGTATTTCGATATGCTTTTTATAAGGAAAGCAGCGTGTATGCAAGACGATTCGCGATCCATTTCCTATCCTCTGACAGATCCTTTAAAATTTACGCCCGAAGGGTTGCCATTCTGATCTTATCTAGTTTGGAGCATGTGTGCGGAGTTGGCTGTTCAGGGAGGCTCTGACATCGAACGTGTGCCAGCACGCCTCACCGCTCTGTGTCGGTGCCATTCGGTGCCTAGTTCCGTGTGCGGCCCCACCGGGACCGGAGCCGTGCGCGTGCGTCGGCCGGCCGGCCGTCGCTCAGTGCCGCTGCGGCTGCCTTGCCGCAGAGCGTGTGTTGGAGATCCTGCGCCAGAGCGGCGTCGTCGAGGGCTGCCTCTATCTGCTGATGCTCAACCTGTCGGCCCACCTGACGCGCGAGCTCGGCATGGCGCCCGGCGGCGAGTTCCGCACGGCCTACCAGGAGGTGAGCCCGGCCCCGGCCCCGACCCCGGCCCCGGCTCCGGCCCCCATCGGCGCAGACTTCTTTGCAGAACACTGTACAATGGATGGAAGCTTAAGATTTAGCAAGACAGTAAAAGGTCCTCAGACATTATTTTCTTTTCTGAATTTGGTTTGTTAGTGGTTTATGCTAGCGGATTATTTTACACCAATGAAAGCTGCGGCCAGTGGCGGCCTCTGTCCTTCAAACCACCTCACCCTGTGAAGATATACCCAGCTGTGGAGGTGATATGACGCGTGTGAGAAGTGTGACCTTAGGAGATCGCCTTACTTGAGGAATTTAAGGTAGCCTGCGCATGTGGCAGGCTACTTTACCTGTAGAGATGACTCCAGCTGTGAAAGCGACGTGATTTGTGAGCGTACTAAGCTGAGCCGGCGGATGACGCCGAACAGGGCCTGACCGCCCTCCCCCCTCGCAGGCGCGGCAGCTGCCGGGCTGTGAAGTGCGCCTGGGCGACCGGCCCATCCACATCACCATCGAGCGCGCGCTGGCCTCGCTCAACGCCTGGAAGAAGCTGCGGCTCGCCTACAACTTGCTCACCTCCAAAGGCTCCATCACGTGAGGAGACGGTGCCGCGGCCCGCGCGGGTCCGGGGTCGGCCGGGACGCTGATCGAGTGATGCTCTGCGGAGTGGTGGTGCTGCCGGCCACTCACGGGCAGTGTGGTGATCTCTTGTGTCGCGTTGCGGCGTCGCGTGATGTGTTGGTGCTGTGACGTGCGCCGCGCGTTGTGGGATGCCGTTCCCCCGAGGCGTCGGACGTGGCCGCCGCCGCCGCCGCCGCCGCCGCCGCCTGCTGCTCCGCGACCGGCTCCCGGGGCAGACTGCAGCGGACTCCGACCTCGTCTGTGGTGCTAGGCGCAGCGGTAGCTGACGAGCCCGCCGCCGTGTCGGGCGCGCCTCGGCTGACCTCCGCGACTGGCCGGGGTCCTGACGACACTGCGCTTTCTCCTCCGTCCTGGCTCGCCTGCGCTCCGCCTGCCGGCCGACTGGTGACGTCACCGTGCCGTGTGCAGGGGTGGCGGACGGAAGCGACAGACTGGCAGCCTGACTAACTCTCCCCCCCCCCCCGCCGCAGGAAGGAGGAGGTGGAGCGGTGCAAGCAGAAGGAGATGCTGGAGGAGATGCTGGAGGAGATGGCAGGCGACTTCCCCGGCCTGGGCGAGGTGTTTGTCAACGAGCGGGACGTCTTCCTGTGCGCCTCGCTGGCCGACGCCACGCGGGTCGTGCCCTGCAATACGCTCTCAGGTGAGAGACGGGGGCCGGTCGGTGACGGCGGCTGGCGGCCGGGCCGCGCGGCGGTGTGTCACCGTCGATGTTGTCCGGGTGACACGACGCAGCCGAGGCCGGCCCTCAGCCCGCGACCCGCACCAGTGGCATCGGGACTGTGATAACACGGCCGGCACAGATGGCTGTCGGCGGTCACACCTGGGGCAGCGCTGTTGGCAGGCGGCCGCCGGCGAACGCGCCGTGCCGGGAGATGCGCGCTGGCACGGGACGGCGCTGGTGAAAGCCGGTGATTCAGGCAGCGGCTCCGTACCGCGGTGTGCCGTGGCTGTCAGGGATCGTGGGTCTCTAGGTGCTCCTCTGGGGGAGGCTTATGCCCATTTTACGCGGAAGTTGAAAACGAAATATTGCGCCGGCAATACGCGAACCCAGAGCACTCAACAAGGTTAAAGCATGCAAGAAGTCATATCAGTTTGCTTTTACTCGGTTTCAGTTCGTAGTCTGAGACTTGGCTTTCAACCCTAACTTGCCTGTAAGCAGTGGTGTGTTAAAACACTATGGCTGAACTACGTTGGCACACACACATCCTGGTCAGTCAGGACTACTTGAAAGCATGGATTGGCGAATATCAGAAATACATACTGACGTCCACCCACCGACTACGTGCACCCCATACTTTAACACAGCGAGAGGTGCCTGCAGCCTGCTAAAGTGACGGATATAAATGCCCGTGCGTGATAAACCAGGCCAACAATTGCCGGCTTCCCCATAATGCCGGAGGGGGTGATGTGCCTGAAACAACAGCTGCCACCAGTTGGGCGGCCTCGCACGTGTTATCTCCAGGCGGTTGTCATGGGTGCTGCGGGGCTAGGTGAGCCGGGCTCCGACCAACTTATTTTTACTGTTTGAACACTTCCTATACTTGTTCTACTGGCGCTCAGTTTGTCGTGTTACGAATCGTGCTTACTCTGCTGACATATATCTGGTATTTGCCAGATAGTCTTACATTGTTTTCAACTTGCAATTGGTAGATACGTAAATGGATATTGGGTGCTTCGTGTCGTTAGACATTGCATATATCATGATTCCACAACAACACCAGGTATTACGCTGTCATCCCGGTTAAGAAGGGACAGACCAGGCGGCTGACGGTCGCCACCAGCCAGGTCTCCATGCCCCGGACGTGTGTCTGATACTGCGGCCGACCGATGGCCATGCCGTCAGTCATGCCGTCAGTCATGCCGGCGGCCATGCCGTCAATCATGCCGTTAGTCATGCCGTCAGTCATGCCGTCCACCGTGCCGGGGGCCATGCTGTCAGCCGTGCCGGCGGCGCCGCGGCCAGCCGTGCCTCCCGTCACCAGCGGCGCCCCCTCCCCTCCGGCAGGCTGGCGGCCGTCCCGCACGGTGGGCGTGGTGGGCATCGGCCACGTGCCGGGCATGATCCGCAACTGGGGCAAGGTCGACCATCGGGATCAGGCGGCGCTGATGCGGTCAGTGGCGCCGACGGCGCGTGGGGGCTGTGTGGTGACGTGTCGGGTCAAATGTCCGGGGTTGTGTCATCGCGCCGTCGGAGTGCAATGTTGTGTCGTGAGTGCAGAATGTTGCGTTTAGAGTGGGAATAGTCTACCCAGTGAGTTGCCCAGCGTAACACGCAGTTGACTGTACGGGATGCTCCACAGCATAACGTCCAGTTGACTGTACGTGATGCTCCAGTCGACGGCAGTGTGTGTGTGTGGTAGACAGACTGGCTGGGACAGGACTCTACACTGGCCGTCTGTATGACGACCAGGGTTACGGGGTGGCGGAGGGATATGTTCTGGGTGAATATTTATGTGTGTTGCCTTCTACGGCAGGCGAAACCAATAATGGCACACAGGCGTTCATGTATTTATCTATGCACATGCATGCCAGTTGGTCTTAACTTGCCATGTTTTAAAGCTATCACTCAGTAGCGTTGCAGCGCATGGTGCTTTTTTCGAGCACGCCATAACAACAGCGCCCGAAAGGAGGCGTACACGTGCGATAGCCTGTTGAAACACATGCCATCTGGTGTCACCCGACAACAGCTGCCGTCAGTATTCCCTAGCTTGTCTCCCAGTTGACGTGGTGGCCGCTGCGGCAGGGTGGCGCCACCGTCGCTGCTGGGCCGCGCTGTGCGCATCACGGTGCGGCTGACCATCTGGGGCCTGGTGGCCTACTGTGTGTACCGGGTGGCGCCCGTGCCGCGCAAGGAGGCCTGGGTCACCGGACTGAGGGACGGCATCAGTCAGCAACGTCACGGCCGCGAAGGCCACAGTTCTGCAGCGCTTCAGCGCCGCCAGTTAGCCGGTGGGTGGACGGGTGGTGGGGCGGGCCGCTCGGGTGGGCTGTGCGCTGTACAGACTCACTAAAAAGGCATGTAAGACGTTTCGTCTGCCTGTAAAGGTGTTTAAGAAGTGCCCATGTGAAAGCGTTTTGGCGTGTTATGCCTCGTGAAACCTACGACGGGCGTTTTTAGAGCTTGACATCTTTATGAAGCAGGCATGTATAGATTTCGGCATTGCATAGAGACCAGTTCATTCATTATCAGGAGAGGCCAAATGACTGACCGTTTAAAGAATCACGGAATCCTGTAGCTCGCACGGAAGTTAAATTGTTGTCGCTTATCGAGCGTTGTCTTCTTGCTGCTGGAATTTCCCCGTTAATGTTTTTATAATGCTGACCAAAGCGATGCTGTCTGTTAGCAGCTATTCTGAAACGGGCGTTCCCATGTTTCCGCAGCCGCGCCCGTCCGCCACCATTTGTTGCAATGAACGACGAGTACTTCCACGAGGACGCGCGTCTGTTCTACACCGCGGAGAACTGTCCCGGTCTAGGCTGCGACCGCGCGCTCTTCGACGTGCAGCTGGCCGGCTGCGGCTGCCGCGTCTGCCGCGCAGACTGTCCGTGCGGCGGCGCCACCGTCGGCGCGGCGGGCGCAGAGGGCGCCACCGGCGACCGGCCGGCCGTCGAGTGCAACGCGCTGTGCGCGTGCGGCGCCGAGTGCGCGCGGCGCGTGGTGCAGCGCGGCCCGCGGGCCGGACTGGAGGTGTTCGATGCCGGCCGCCGTGGCCTCGGCCTGCGCTCGCGGCTCGCGATCGCAGCTGGCGAGTTCGTCTGCTGCTACGCCGGCGAGGTGGTGGGCGCGGCCGAGGCCGCCCGTCGATTCGCCACCCAGCCGCCGGCGGCACACAACTACATCCTGGCGGTGCGCGAGCACTGCGCCGGCCGTCTCACCGTCACCTACATCGACGCGACGCGCGCGTGTAACGTGGGTCACTACGCCAACCACTCGTGTCGGCCGAACCTGGCGCTGCGGCCGGTGCGCGTGGACTCGCCGGTGCCGCACGCGGCGCTCTTCGCCGCGCGGCCTGTGCGGCCCGGCGAGGAGCTCACCTTCAGCTACGGCGAGGCGGCGGCGGCCGCGGCCGGCCGCGCCTGTCTCTGCGGCGAGCGCGAGTGCCGTGGCTGGCTGCCGAGCCAGGCGGTGACGGAGGAGGAGGAGGGGGCCGGCGGGGAGGCGCGCCCCCAGCGAGCGGGCGGGCCGGTCCACGGCGAGCAGCTGTGAGGACGGCAGTGGTGCCACCTGTCGGCAGCAACCCGCGACATTCGGCCGACTGTGCTAATGATGCGGGGTGGTGTAGACTAACAGACTTGTTTGTAGGCGTTTTCGGTCTGCCCCGTTTTGAGCTATTTTTACGTGCTCGTGGGCTGTCCGGCGCGTTGTGAGTTGCTGATCTGATGGCGAGGACGGCAAGGCAGCAGAGCCTATCGGCGAGGCAGGGGCGTGCAGGACGCAGCGCTGCATGGGGTCTGCCGTGCGTGAGTGGTTGTGGTGTTGCGTTACAAATTTGGAGGTTTTTAGATTAAATAAAACGACGGCGTTGATCTGGCTGTGCTGCAGTGAACGAGGCAGAGGGTTCCCCTGGTGGTGGCTAGCGTTTGTGATGGGGCTGTGTCACCATGCGTTAAAGGGTGCTGTTAGGTGTATTGATTGGAGGAATACATACGCAGTATTGCACTGTGTTTAGTGTTCACGATAACCATGACCAAAAAAGGATCTGCCAGCATCTGTCGTCACGGCCGAAGCCGAAGACCAAGACAGTCTGGATGTTGGCTATCAGGACGCTGACGTGGCTTCAGCGGCGCGACCCGACCCAGCCGGTCGCACTTAAACGGAGGAATTTTTGCAATCCCTGACCGCACTGTCGTGAAGTCTTCACAGCTAGTAAAACAATTCTTCAAAGGTAGGCTCTAATATTTTCAATGCATTTAAATTGGAGCTGATTGATCAGGCAGCGTGTACGGTGTAACGCTGTAGAAGATATTCCCGCTCTTGCACCCTGCGTGAATAACGCGACAACTGAAATTTGCAGATGGCAAAGAAACTGAATAGGACGAATCAGAACCGAGGCGGAGTCTTAGCAACACGCGTTGGAGACTTACACTGACTGAGGAGAATACCGACAAACGTGCCGGCAAAATTATGCGTCGATGATTGCAAAGAGCAGATCATAATGCATAATCCCGCGAAAACCGTGCATCCGTCCGTTTTCGGTGCGTGTTTAACGATCTTTGCTGTATCGCGGCATCCAAGGTAGGTAAAGACACGCAACCAGTTGTGCCAGGCCATGCAAACAACAGGTTCGTGACCAATCTGTTGTTACCAATATCCAGCCCAGGTGTTAGCGCTCTTTCCTAATGCTTTCGTTTTGGTCATCAAATATATAAGCTTTTCCAAATTTATTCATATCACCGATTCGAATTGCCCACAAAAAACCTTGGCAGATCAAAAGTCATTCACATTTACAGCAGAATCGTTTGTCAGTGTGTGCGCGGGCTCTAAACAATAATGACAAACTCATACAGTAACGTATGTGCATGTTGTATGCTCCAATGCATGGTCAAGTCACATCTGCGTGGTCTCCGTTCGCTCATGTCCACATATCATCTCCACTGTGATAACCTCACAGGCAGTCACCTCTCCCGGCTCACGCCGCAAAAGGAGCTCTACTAGTGCTGCATTGACGTGCTTCCTGCTGGAACATCACCAACACGTTTAGTATTACGAAGGCTGAAGCAGTAAGAAGTGTTACCGTTTCACCACCACCTGGGCGGAGGCGTTATGTATTCTCAGGAAGCGTGAGGTCTCGCGCTGCAGTGTGAAGATTTCCTGCAGTCAAAAACACACGAGGAATGCCGTAAGACGGCATGGCTTGAAATTCCGCACCGTCGCACCAAACACCTGTTCCTGTTTCCATGAAAGTTGATGTGGCGGATGCCACACACTGCCATGCCGTATATCCGTCGGCGGTCGATGTCCAGGGTCGACCTTTCTCACCTGTACTTCCGCTCGGCAGAAAAGACCGGACCGGAGGCGGCGTTTTCGGAGTGGGGAGCTTCAGCAACGCTGCTGGACATTCAAGGGAATTCTCGTTGCAGGTTCAGATTTCCGGTTACATGATCGATGATGCGGTTGTTGTTCCGGTCATCGTCCTGACCTATGACTGGGCCCAGGTTTATGAAACAAGACTAAAAACCCACGCGTTTCCAAGTCGAACCGTACGGGTGTACAGGGCACCCACGTCTTGAACGTGACCGTTGTTCGGGCTGGGCCGTCGACAGGCGTTTGTGAATGCGCACACTAACGTTTACGAACATCTGCATCACGGACATTTGCGATCATAAACATTGGCATGAACGTATACGTGATCAAAGTTTGTAAGCTTCTACGACGCGAATTACAAGCATTTGCGTATTCTTACATTAGTGTTCACCGATACCTGCACTCAACACTTCCTTGCAAAAATTTGCTCGCGCAAGCTTGCGATGCGTACATTTTGTCTTACGTACATTTGTCATGTAGTCACTGCGGCGCCACAAAAAAACTGCGGCGCCATTTTGACGGCTCGCATTTTTGCACGGGCTGTTTTCGTTGCCGCGCGAGTTATGTGTTCAGCTTCGTGACGCTAGGTCATGACGCATGATGCGAACTAGGTCATAACCTCGTCAGTAGTTTGAAGTAATGCCAGTCAGGGCTTGGTTAATGCTACGCAACGAACTGCTTTCTCCCGCAACAATGACTCTTCTTGGGATTGTTAGATAACGAGTCGCGTCCAAATGCAACCGAAACGTTCTTACCGCTGCAATTTTGATGTTCCAGCACCAATATCAGCACAACGGACCACGTGCGTGATAGCACACGACGCGCGCCTTTTCGGAGAAGTCATGGCAGTGTGTTTTATGTGCCCTGGTTCCTGAGCGTCCGACCCGATTGCTCACAGCCCATAGCTGGGACGTGACCTCAGCTACGCCTCCACGGCCTTAACCGGACAAGCGGGGCCGGTATGCCGCCACTGAGCTCATCACAGGCGGACGGGGCACGCCAGACGAGGTCAGGGGTCGGTTCCCGGAGCCGCTGCCGCCGCCGCCGCCGCCGCCGCCTTCCGGCGCGGTTGCAGAGCGCCGGCGGGCGATACGTCAGGCGTCGACCCTTCCTCGCCGCGTGGCGGGCAGCGCGCCGGCTGACTCCTCGGTCAGGTGTGATGTGCCGAGTCATCCCCGAGTCATTCCCGCACCCGCCAGGTGGTGACATCCGAGAGGCGCCGGGCGATAGCAGCGACGCCTGGCGCCGGGCGCCGGTTCGTCTCCTCTGGTGCGCCGCCGCCGCAGGCAGCCACGTCGCGCGCCGCCAATATGGACCAAAGGTGAAGGAACTGCGCCGGCTTTTTATCCCGACGGCGGGTTTTTATTGCGACTCGAGGGGTGGCGCAGCACAAGGAAGTGGGCGAAACTGGGTCAGGTGGTGGCGGGAGGTCGACGCCCTGCCGCGGCCCCTCCTAGTGACACGGCGGCGGTGCGCGGGCGCGGACGCGGACGCCACGACCAGCCGCCGGAGCCGCTGACTGGCGCGCGGTCGCCCGGCCCGGTCCGACCCGGCCACCGGGCGGGGACGACCGCACCGCCGCCGCCCGCCAGCAAAAACTGGCCAGCTGGCCGCCAGCAAAAGTCCGCATAATGATGAGTGATACAAATGGGCGGACGTGAGTAAAAGTGGCCGTGCCATTGTGTTTGGACACGCTCTGTCGGGGCTAAACCTGTCGTGCAAAGGTATTGGGCGAATGCATAGTTTTCCTCTACGATTTGGATTGTTCCTTGAAGATGTCATGGCACTGAGGTCGTCTTCCCGCATTGTTTGCTGATACTCGGAACCACTTTGGCTGTGACCTTGTCTTTCATCAATCATTCATGAGGGTTGCTGAACTTGCAGCACTCGCTGCGCTCGTGGAACAAGGCCGGGTATTCCCGACAGCCGTCAACACCGAGAAATTCCTGTCTTTATTTCCTATGCGCGATCAAAGGGTGCTGGCCGTGTCAGGGTGTGTTTCTTCAAAGGAAATATTTCTTAGTGAAAAAGATGCAAGGCATGGCCCAAAACCGTGCCTTTATAATCCATGTACTCGCGAAATGCGTCGAAAGCTGTGAGTTGTTTTCCTGTCCGTAGGGTTCAATGCACGCCATGTTTTTGTACATTCCTTCAGCAAAGAACGTCAGTAATGCTTTTTCATAGTAACGTCTAAATCCTTGCGAGAGACCTGTTCGCCTGCTTATCTGTCTGCTATTGAAAGTATTCATGGCATGACGATATCAGATTCACTGAGTGGCTTTAACTATGTATCTAACCGTGTCAAATGCACTGCTCCTCCGAACCGTCCTTCCTAACTCGATACTGGATACTGGAGAGAGAGAAACAGAGAGAGAGGGAAAGATACTGGATACTGGAGAGAGCGAAACAGAGAGAGAGAGGGAAAAATACTGGATACTGGAGAGAGAGAAACAGAGAGAGAGGGAAAGATACTGGATACTGGAGAGAGAGAAACAGAGAGAGAGGGAAAGATATTGGATACTGGAGAGAGAGAAACAGAGAGAGAGGGAAAGATACTGGATTTGGTGGCCGTGGTGAGTTCGCAAATCAGGAAAATCGCTCTTAGGTTGTCGTTAACAATAAGTTCATTGCTACCTTTTAACTCCCACTTCCAAATGGCTGTTCGATTGGCTGGACTGAGCATAGCAATGTCATTTTGAAAATTTGTGAGGGGAGAAGTCATGTTATCTTGCTTATATATAAAAATATATAAAAATTGCTTATATAGAAATGCATATATATACATATATATATATATATATATATATATATATATATATATATATGGGCTCTTTCTCTTTCTCCCTCTCTCTCTCTCTCTCTCTCTCTCTTTCTCCCTCTCTCTCTATCCCTTTCTCTCTCTCTCCTCTCTCTCTCTCTCTCTCCCTCTCTCTCTTTCTCTCTCTCTCTCCATCCTCTCTTTCTCTCATCTCTCTCTTCTCGTCTCTCCTCTCTCATCTCTCTCTCTCTCTCTCTCTCTCTCTCTCTCTCCATCTCTCTCTCTCTTCATTCCCTCACCCTATTGCTGGTTTATCCTGAACAACTCAAATTCTTCCATACCACATCCACTTGCTTTCATTTTTGTCGTTTTTGCCAAAATATATTACCACCATCAGTTATCAATCTGCACAACTCAACGTTTCATGAAACATATGTTTATATGCTATCGTTCACCGGCTTGTGCTTGTCAAATGTCAATACATCAGGATCAACATTCATTATATCCTAACACATTTAGTGCAGTCCAACATATTGGTTCAGAAAGTCTCCATTAGTCCGAACTAACTTGCCATTTGCGGATAAAGCTGCATGATGTATTCAAAACGTAACCCTGATCCACACGTTTCAGTGTGCATCGTTTAAAGCCCATTCATGTATCATAATTCCCTAGAGCCATTCAACGCTCTTTTTTTGGTTGCGTTCATTAGACAGACCCTGTGCACGGCTTGTGGCCGGAAACGTGGTATGAATGGGATCGTGATTGACCCCGAACGGAGCCGGAAATCATTAAACAAGAGGTCAGCCGGTGATTGGCTGTGAGATTGCACGATCTTGATTTCGTTTCGATGCTATCTCGATTAGA